GAGAGAAAGAAAAACGGAGAGAGTTTTTGTGAGTGCGGATAAATGGTATGTTTTTTTATAGACATACGGTCAGTTGAAAAGTTCGCAGAAGGATGTAATGAAACAAGATAAAATTTTTCAGAACTGAGAAACATATGTAAATCCGAAGGTTTTCTTCTTCTTCCTCTACGAATCAACAACGGATGATTAACTGATTCGCAGTGGGAGTCCGTCAGTTTAACAGCCGATAGCCTGTGTTGCTAGTGCTCACTGTCTTTTTTTAATCTAAGAATTTATTTCATTAGTCTAAAATTATAATAATAATAATAATAATAACTTTTCCAAAAAGAATATTCTAGCCGAAGCATTGGCTAGAGGAAAATAGATGTTGTTATCGCGCTAAATTGTCAACAACAGAGGAGGGCTACTTGAACGATTTGCCGTGTGACTCCGTCAGCTGAGCTCTTTCAAAATATATATCTCAGAGGCAAGGCGTTGGCTCGAGCAAAAAGCATTTTCATTCTTCGTTATATGAGGCCTTTTTTCATGATTTTTCGCATGCAGTTAAAACAAAAGGTTTCTGCGATACTTTCTACTTGTTATTTGCACAGCTTGATCGGATAATTAGTAAGCTATGTTTGACTATGTGCAATTTCGTTCGCCCGTTAGTGCAGGCTTAAATCTTATGTGGGCTTGGAAGCTTTTTCTTTGGAAAACATAAACAGCTGAAAGTAAGAAAGTTTTATTCGAAGTGTTCTTGATTTGAATTTAGCAAATGAAACGCTTGTGCGTAGCTTTCTCAAGCTTAACCGTTTTTTCAAAATGTTTCTTAAGATTTTTGCGGTCTTCAGAATTTTATTTAAACTCAACTTCGTATCATTCACAATTGCGCATAATCGTAAGTGGAATTAGAATTTAGATAAACTTATTGGACTTATTGATCTATTGATCTAGAATGAATGAATATATATTTAGATTTATTTTACTGCAACTCGACAAGTTACAACTTACAGACCGTACATTATTCATATGAAAAATGAAAATGCGGCAAATTTGATGATTTTTCTAGTGATCCGTAGATGCTTGGCCACGAACTTTTCAAATGACTCTCGGCAACTCAAAATTGTATTGTACTTGAAGCAAAGATAAATCATAAAACCAACCATCAGAAGGCTTCACAACTTTAGTAAACGATCAGCAACGACAAAGTTAAGATTTCATAATAAGAAACTTTCAAGCAGTGAAGAAAAATTAAACGGTGCACTATTTCATTTAACTGAAACAATTAAGTAAAGTTGCTTTAAGATTAACCTCATTATGAAGAAAGTGAGTATACTTAGTAATTAAACGATGAATTAAGTAAAGCATTTAAAAAAGGAAAAAAGGAAATTGAAATATCTTGACACAAAGCGTGAAGAATTAATTAACTGTTTTGATATGACATCAGTAGTGACAATGTAATATCGCGACAAACTTTAGTTTAGCAGTTTACAAGCAAAGTGTGATAGTTCTCTGCTATATAAATACATGCATGCATATCTACGTTCGTATGTATATTTAAATGTATTTATATATAGTTATCTGTATACATATATACATATATGTAACTTCCTAGCATAAAAGCAATGCGAACAAAGTTACAAGAAATTAATTATTATTACCTTTAACAGAATGAAACTACTTCGATATCTCTGCTTTTAATGCTATTAAAAGGAACATGAAAAGATTTCTTACTTCCTTTGTAGCTTGCGCTAATTATAGGTATAATATAATTATATGCGATATAATCATTCCTGGCACATTATACAACTTACACGTTAGGACAAGGATTCACTTAAAATTGAAGTAAATTCTATTTTGATATAAATATTCTATGCCGATCCAATCAGCGGGCTGCGAGATGGGCGTAGAAAAAGTTCATTAGTCAGTTTGTGCCAGAAGTTTGCATTGAAGATATAAAAATGACTGAAAACAGATGTTGTGTATGTATGGAATGTGTACGCGCAGCAGTAAATAATTATTAAAAAAACTGAAGCACTTTAGCGCCCACCCTTAAATATCCTACACCACCCTACAGTCATTCATATAACGACTTTTCAAAATGAGGCATTATATGGGACGTGAACATAATGTTGTCAATAGCGCCCGTCCTTGGACCACAATATTTCTGCATAACAAATTTTCATCAAGACATATCGACAAGCGCGGTTATAGATCGAATACAAGACGGAGCTTGCGTGCAAGCTTGGATCGATTCAAAAACCGACTCCGATTCGATCGGTTTACTAAAAGCTGGGTTTATCTCAAAGCCTTCTCTGTGTTGCACACATTCACACGAACTTAATACACCCTTGTATCGCAACGGTGGACGGTATGAAATAGTTAGGTATGAAACTTATCTTAATGTACAATTATTTTAGGATATCAAAAGGGAAATACTTTAAATCCGTTGTGTAGTAACATAGAGGAAAGAATTATTGGTTTTTAAAACGGTTCGTGAAAAATTTATTAAAAATAAAATAAATGGATGTAAAATTTTAGAAGGCCTTAATCTCAAAATTCAGGATTTGCGGGTTGAACACAACGAAACAGGACGGTCAGACAGACCGACAGGCTTAAATCTATTCAAAAAGTGATTTTCATCGAATCGAACGGTGTAATCAAAACTGGGTCTCTATCAAGTTCTTCTCTATGAATGCATACATCTGCACAAATTTAACATATCCTCGTACGATAAGTGATGTAGGGTATATGAAAAAAAGCTATGTAGATTTGCTTATGAATTGTATCGTAACGCGGGCCTATTGGAGTTACTATGTGAAACTGAAGCGAATAAGCGATCACATTTTCAATTTTGCCCCCTCCATCCCGTTCGTATTGAAGATGTCCCCAGAGATGGTGCTCATCTAAAAAGAAAAAAGAAAAGAAAAAGCATTCGCATTATTCGTTCTATATTATTCTATATTAAGACGATTTGATAATAATTTTTTTATCAGGCTCGTCTTGACTTAGAAAGTAGAAACTTAATAGTCCTCTGTCATCTTTACCAAATCCTTATCGAGGGCTGCTTCCGCGTCCGAAGATTGACCAAATTTATATTAAAGAATGAAAAGAAAGGGAAGCTTACTATTACTCGCGCATACCCAAGATAAAGTAAATAACGGAATTTTTTGACTTTTGTGGTCCATCGAAGATGAGCACTCTTCTAATCTTGGGCGAAAACCACTTACATCTTCATTATCGCGTTTTAAAAGAAGTATTCTTTTTAAATTAATGGATGATGACAACTTTGTAATAAGGAAGAGAAGAACTGCAGCAGATTATATATGGGGTATATATACCATCTATAGTATCCCAATTGCAGTGAACTCTTAATTTTACCCTGATGAAAATCAATTAATATTAAGACTGGTTGGTAAATCGGTGAATTTTCTAAACACCTGAAAATACGTTTCGAACCCGGGAAACTGGTTATCGAATAATTCGCAATTAGCAAATCTTATCTGTCATCTTATCCCGAAATTAAAAACTAATGATTACGTTTAATCGAAACTGCAATGGAAATAATTGAAGAAAAATTATTGATTTAATGCGTAAGAATTTTCCCAAAATAGATATAAAACGCATTTAAAAATGATAGCTTCAAAAAATTTGTATTTGATTTTCAAGTTGTTTAAGCTGGTGAGAACGCAAAGGGCTTGCTGTCGTTAAAGCTGGCACCAGCCAAGACCTTAAAGGCGGAGGAAAAAGAAAGGCAAGATTTTCTGAATTTTCATTTTCTAGCCAAAGTGTGCATACCATGGATATTTTTGACGACATGCTAATTATTGCGACTTGTCCGGAAGACGTACTTTCGGGATGACGTTTGGATTTCAAACTTTGTCTTGTTATATTTGTTACGTCAAAGCAAACCTGGTTGATTGAGCGTGTCATAAGAGAACGTATTACTTAGCGTACCGCTCGTGAAAAATAAGAGGACTACTGCCTTCATTAGAGAGTTGCGAAGTGAGGAGTGAATGAGGTACATTTAAGACTTTATATCTGATATGAACTAGAGGAAAGAAGCAATGCGTGGATCGCTTATAAAAACTCTTGCGACACAGTACGAAGTCAAGTTGCAAACGGTCGGATCTATCAAAGAAGATTTGCCATGTTTCACTTCACAGATTCCAGTTTCAAGGAGGTTCGTTGATGTAGGCGGCAATGGCATTTCCAAATTAGCAAAATAGTTCAGATGTTTGAGACGAAAAACCTTGTTGGAGACAAAGTAAGAACAAATACAAAGTTCATAAGGGAAGTAATTCCAGCAATATGAAATTGTCAGTACAAATGGTCTCTCGAAAATCAATGTAGCAATCGGGAGAATGTGAACTTGAAGGCTTATGTGACCCGTTGGGAGAATTCAGTTCCAAAGAAGATCGGTAATTGATCGTGGAGAGTAACACATTTAACCACTTTAACGCTCAATTGCAAAGAAACTCGTCATCCGTCGTCATCGATTGCTAAGGAGTACAAGCACATCAAATGTTTTTCAAAATCAAATGTTTTCCGCCAAACTATTGTCTACATAAATAAAAAATAACTCTACCATCCCAAACTAATTCCTATGGTCCCCGCTGTTTATAACCGAATCTGGAAAGCAGATAGCTTCATATATTATTTGTGAACGTGTCAAGGCCTCATTCTTTTCTATGCGTGTAATGGTTCAATGACACTTTCTCCGTCTTTGAAACTTCATGTCAATATCTCGTTTGATTATCTTGATTACATATCATAAGGTACGCGTAAAGGAGTGCAGAAGCATTTCTTAACACTTCAACTTAATTGCTTGCACTTAACAATTCATTAGTGATAACGAAGATAAAAAGTAAAGATTTATTCCAGCTCCTTAATAAGGAATGCATGGACGTAGCCAGATCTTCGTTCGACCTAAATCATACAAACGGGCAGGGGTTTTATTACGAGTACTGCACACCTTTTGTTTACGTGATCTGCTGAGATTAAAGCAAAAGCCTGAATTATTCGCGCTTTAGAAATTCCAATAAAAATTCCATGAACTTTACGGCACATGGTACAAATAAGTATTCTATAGATCTGATGTTAAAAATTTGTGTCTTTGATAAACATAATGTCTCTCCGTATGAAGTGTTATTTTAAATCAATTCCTAGAATTCAACAGAGTCATTGTTCACGTAAACACCATCTAGTTCGAGCCAAGAAGAGTCAATATCGTTCCTCGTTAGAGGAAGTATAGTAAGCAAGAGTGTATGAGCCAATCATAGAGTTAGCACAAAAAACCGTGCCAAACTACTACCCGCTATGATTAATGACGCGGTCCGATTATTTCTATTGAGTCTACCAGATTCTCAGATGTAACCCATTTGCTTGCTTACGAAAGTACAGAAAATGAACCTCATGACTTGAAAGAATGTTGCTTAAAAAACTAATATCTTGACCATGCATATCTGGCATCCAAACAATGAATATATCTGAAAACTTCGCAGCTTTTATTTGCCAAATGTCGTCACAATGATAGGTACGTTGTTGGCAGTTAAACCGTGGCGCGAAGTTTAAACTGACATTTCATATTGAAAGAACAATTAATCTTAATATTATGCTCCCCCTCTACTATTCTTACCAAAATCGTGCTACCGCGTATAAGTGCCAGGTGCCTCTTAAAAAAAGATTATAATAATGCTGCATGTATAGGCAGCATACATGGCTAGTAAAGTATGGTTCTTATATCCTGAGGATAAAACGCAGATAACCTGTAAATTTCAAATTAGCGATAGCTACCTGATTGACTAATCGGAGCCTGGATAAAGGTTGAAAAAGAATCGGAGTCAAGCCAAACTTGTTCCCTTAAACGAAGTTTTGAATTTAACATTTGTAAATTCGACCGACAAGCCGACAGACTGACCGATCGATTTCTGTTCACTTCTAATGAGAAGCATATGTTTAATGCCTGGACGTCTCTTCAGTAAAATACTATGACCATTTAGTGAAACCGATACGTATAAATATGTATCGTAAATGTTTTGTACGGGGGTCTGCGGATCATGTAAAGTGTTAAGTGAGCAATTGAAGTGAACTGAAAACTTGAAAACCACTCTAAGGCTGTTACTGTTTCTTTTTTGCTTTTTTTTCTTCGTAATTAAGCAACTGTGTGTAACACTTTATAAGACTAAACTGTTACTGTGAAACTGCATTTCCTACTTGAGCAAATAAACGCTAGACGGTGACGCTACATCTCTTAGCTGATCAATTGGGTGCAATGCCCTTTAAGCGAAGCGCACAGCGTTAAATATAACTTCAGTTAGTCAGTAGTCATAGGCGAGAGGAAATGCGTTTAGAATTTATTATAAATTCATTAAACAGTAATCAGAACACATAAGAAATTTGTATAACATTTGTACAGAACTAGAGGGCTGGTTGGCTGCTATCTTATCATAAAATAAATAACTTTCCCCTCTTTTGTTAATTATTGCTACTATTGTTAATATTACAATGTCTTTATATCAATGTTTCTTTATAAATAATTCCACAGATAAATATGATTATTGGAGTTTTAACCGAAATTGTATTTGACTTTATAGTTTGCGTAACATTACGTCAATGTTGAGGTTATGTTTGATCTACGCGAGCAGTATCTATGCCAAAGTGGAATTAGTGCTGTTCATAGCTTTAGATCGCGCGCTGCATCGAAATATTACGCTTGTGGCTAAATATTACTACTTTACGAGTGACTCGATACAACTTAATTACTGAAATTTAAGATTATGTTCGATATCTATAAACTAAAATTCTTTCCATATTTTTTTCTTACGCGGCACTTCCACTTTCGTATTATTTTCCATTCCAAGATCCCATAAAAATTAATTAGGAGTTACTTGGTAAATCGGTAAATGTGGAGTCTATGTTCAATCTCTGCGAGTAGCATTGCTCTCCTTGAAATTTTCCGCTCTACACCGTTAGATTACATTAAGGTAATGCTCCATCTCTGCAACTAAACTACAATATGTTAAACGTTTCTTCATGCACCAATATTAACACAGTTTTCCATTCCAAGGTCCCGCAAATGCTAAGCAGAAGTTAGTCCCGCATGAGCAGTCTAGTAGATACGAATCGCGACCACAAAGTCAGATTCAAATCTCAGTGCGATAGAGTTTTACTTTGGTCGCTGCTATAATGTGCGCTCAGTCGATAACGGCACAACCATTATCGATTGGGTTCAAATCCTCACTTCCTTTTTGACCGCGTCACCGCGTTACGCGAACAGGAAACATACACAACAAGATAGTTTTGCATGCCAAGGTTCAGCATGCGCTAGAGAGAACTTAAGAAGATTATATTTGAACTCTGCGAGTAGCTTATCACAAAATGAACTGAAACTGATCACTTGCTGGGCCTGAATAAAAAGTTTACTTTCGATTATGACTGCATTAATAAATGCGTTGAAGCAATTGATTGGTGGAAGTTGCACTTATGCACACTGAAATTCGCTTCATAATCATATAAATTGAAAATTGAGGTTATATTCAATATCCGTAAACTGAAAAGCACTTTGTATTTCTTTATATCGAGCTCGCCTTTCGAACATCAAGCTCGAGCTCAAACCTAAAATGCTTAGAAAAACTTAATTCGCCAATTTTAAGGTTATGTCCAATTTCTGCAATCAGTGTACCGCAAACTTAAATTCCCTCCACAATCCTAGTACCTACTACCTAAGCATCACATTTGCGATCCATTTCAATCTTCCAAATATCTTGATGCAAATATTTGGTAAATGTTGAGGTTATTTCTACTTTTGAGCGCGAGCTTTCACTGTCAATTTACTTCACACACTTTGCATGTTTTTTAAAGCCCTTTTGAACGTTCTTTCCATGGAGGCAATGGAAAAGTGAAATAGGCTAGGAATATGCCTTTTTTCGGAGTCTAATCAGAATTTATATAAAGCGCGATTGCGTCACATATTCCGATAAACAATGCGAGCATTTCTTAAATTTTTGCTACGAATTTATGCACTTATTATTAAGAAAAAGAAAAGAGTAAAAGATTTTCCATTTCAATTGATTAAAGATTTTATTTAATCAAGAAAAAGTAAAAAGAAAAACTTTTAAATATTTGTAGATCATCTTGATAGCATTATTAATAAGCGTAGCAGTGTCCGCAAGTACTGAAACCGGCAGCAATAATGCTAATAAACATGAGCATGCTAACGATAAACATTTGAAAGCTGCTCAAGAAGGTCATAAAAAGCATAACGGACAAGAATTGATGCCTGATGAAACTCCAGAAAATAATGACCAGGCTGAGAAGCCAATACCAGCCGTGACTAATAATAATTCTCTCACTAATGGTAAACGAGGTCGCAGGCAACGTATCAATCATCAGCATGGTAAAGGTAAACGTATTAACAACGGTAATAACGGCAGTGCACACATTCACACACAATCGGACTCAAATGCTAATAAAAGCGCTCGCAAACACGCCAGATCGAAATCCCATTCAACTGTGGATAGCGAAAGACTTTCGAAACAGCATCGTAAACAGGGGCGTGGTAAACAAGCAAACTAAATTTTTAAAAATAAAAACTTTCAATGCAAAGAACACAAATATCTGCATATGTTAAGCGTGTATACATTAGGTAAAATTCTCCCTATTTTTTATCACACAAAAATGAATTTAAAAAAAATTTTAAAAAATGTTTCCTTTTTACACACAAAATAATTTCTAAAGGAAATAATAAAAAGCAATACTTAAACATTTTCTCATTTTAATTGTTTGTGTTTTATTTCGTTTTGTTTGTTTGTTTGTTTATGTATTTTATTTTTTATTTTAATGTGCAGAATTATAAAATCACTTGTTTTTGGTTTGACGGCTTCTTTAGAAGCCATAAAAAAAGAAAAAAATAATAATAATGGGCTTCTTCTTCACATGTTATTTATTCACTTTTCAACTTTCGCAATTTCATAACGGTTTTGCTTTACTTCACTCTACTCGATTACATATCATAGCATCGTACAGAGGTCAAGTTATGTTAATTACAGAAAAATAATTTCTAACATAAGATAAACGCAGAAAAACATAATACACCTAAGCCTCACTCTACGCCTGAACACGTTTTCATCATTTTATTCCCTCTCGTTTTTTGCCATCCCAAAAGTCATTTAAAAAGGCTGAAGCCAACAAAAATTGAACGTGAAGAGACGTAGCCGATAGCCTAGTCTTATTAGTACTAGCGCTAAAGCGATATGCTTGATCTAATATAGTCATATTGAATAGTATCTTACATGCATTTCGCACCAAAAGAGCTAATCTTGCGCATTTCCGTGTAAATCAAGCGATTGGTGTACACATTTTATCTGGGTTGTATTACATACAAGCGCACACGCGTGAGGCTTTCTATTATTGTTTTGGTAGAAAGCTGCAGAGAGATTTGCTTAAACCGCTTATTATTTTTTAAAGAAAAAATTACGAAAAGATAAAAATAATGTAATAAAGTGTAATGTAATGTAATAACGCAAGTAAAAGCAATAAGTATGTCATTGAAAATTGAATGGTTTTACAAGAAGACATATGAGAAAGTTGTGTACACCTTACGACGAATGCTTAACACCCCACCACCATATTACGAATATAAAATGTTACGTTCAACATGCACGCAGTTTATCGAGTTGTCGATTAAGCTTTTTAAAGGGTCCTAAGAAATGTTTATGTCAGCGTTTCATACCAACATCTATTAATTCTGAATTATAACATTTTTTTTTTTTGACCATGATAGTCGTGCCCTAATATAATGAGCGTTTTTCACCTACGTTGTGGGTCTTCCTCTGTCGTGTTTGTAATGAGTTCCAAATGAAAGGTAAACGTAAATTGTAAGTTGCGGTTGGGTGGTTTATGTAGCCGGATAGGCTTGGTTGAGACCACTTTCGAGCACGCCCTTAGACCGTACATTTTGAAATCGATTCAGAATTTGCTAGTGATCGAGAATATACATAATTTTTAAAGTGCCTAGGGACGCTGGAAACACCCGGGGTATAATTTTAAACTCTTGACGATGAATATGGAATGGTATGTATGCCTTGATAAGGAATCTCGGAGTTTGCAGAACGACATATAAATTTGAGAATTTCCTTCCTCAGATTATCAAAATTGTTTGACCAAAACTTCGTATCAGAAAAAATGAAGATGTTTTCTAGGAACGATCTTCTCTGGCTTTCTTGGTTTTTAGACATCAGTGAACCCTTTGTTTATAGGTACAATAAGAAATTTAACCACGTAATTATTTCTTCAGTCGAGCGACAACATCTGATACTGAATTTAAAATATTAGGTAAAGCAAAGAAAGAAAAAAGATAAGAAAACATAATATAATACGTTAGCTAATATTTCACCTAAATATATAAATAATTATTATGCTGGTCTAATAAATAAAATGTAAGGAATGCCGGATTTTGTATTATTTTATAGCACAACTTAAGGGTTACTGGTAAGCGTCTGGCAACCAGGGTTAAAACCTTAGAAATTTCGAAGAATAGAATTTCATATTTTGCCTTAATGAGTCCTTATTGTCTAGACGATAGCCAGCTTGTATAAACTTTCCCGATATTTGCTGGAGAGAATTAAAAAGCACAAAGTTAATGCGGCATGTCTTGACTTGAGCAGGATTAAGTTTGCTGATGTCCAGAGGGGAATATTTAAATTAATCTCGAGCGAAGAACTTTGTGCATAAAAGTTATATCTAAAAAGAAGCTGCATTTCTTAAGAATTGATAGTGCAATTAATATAAAGTGACTTCCGATAGAAAGAAAGTAAGGGGTTGGATTTTCATCCGAAAAAAATTTGCCTAATAAACATTGGTATTCATCGAATCCTAAAGGAAACTTACAGGGAATATGTGTTTTCACGGGCAACACATAGGTAATTAAATGATTAAAAAATGGTAGTTTTGAAATTAAGAACGAGCGCGGCTTGAACAGGCCAAGCGTAGATTTCAAACTATCTAAACTTTATAGGTTCAAGCCCATCAAGAACTCAAACACGATTGCTTTGATATTATGAACGTACAGTCCAGTTCCAGTACAATCCGAACACCTTAAATAAAGAAGAGCATCAGCATTTAAGTAACTAATACTTTTGAGCTTCTACAACTTTTGAGCATTAGAAAAGGGTGACTTTGGGGTTAAGAGCAAAGAGCAACTGAGACAAGACGTTCCTGAGTTAGGACACCATAAGATGACGCTTAAACTTGAAATGTCTAATATTTTTGGATTCCCATTGCTTTTACAATTTAAAAATTAAAATTTGGAGGTTAAGATAGAAGATAGCTGAGACCAATTTGAAGAAGCTAAACTAAAATATGAAAGAAAGAAATATACAATATAAGCCCGAAATATAGCAAGATTCCTACACCGCACGTGGTTCAGATCTTGGATCTAGCACGTATCAAGAACTGAAAACTCTTTTTCAAATATGCTAAAGAAAATGAATATTGTAATTAGTTTATATTATTCAAATATGTAGCGACAAAACAATGTTTAGATATATTCATTTCATTTCTCTAATTTAATCCAATGTAGACCGGTTGACGACGTTGGTATTCATTGATAGGTATACCTTTGCCGTAACCATAGCGAGTATCATAACTGCCGCCATATTTGAAGGTGTTTCCGTGATCATAACTAATATGTGGGCGCACTTTAACAGACGTTCCAGGAAACGAAGTACTATAGGATGGATTATAAGAATGACCAACGATAGGAGCACTAAACACGGGAGTAGCGAGAAGAGAAGTAGTAAGTAAAGGAGTAGGGGCAATTGCACCAACACCAAAACCAGGGCCAGGAATTATATTACTACCAACTCCGCCACCGTAGTAACCGGGATAGTACGCGATACCGTAGGTATCAGAAGTTTCCAAATCATCCTTAACTGCGTTGGTAGTTACAGGCGACGTTTCCAAACCGTATTCCTAGAAGAGGTCAATAAATTCAAAAAATTTGTAAAATTTGCATAAAAATCTTACCTCTTCTGCTGGAAATGCCAGGACACCGAGAGTTAATGTTATAAAACTAAAAATGAACAAACCCATAATCTCAAGATTTAGATTAATCTACAAAACTTCCTTAAAGAATCTTAATATTGTCAACGCAAAGAATTTCAAATCGTAACTGTCAATTGAGCGCGTTTTGCCCCCTATTTATATAGTAATGCAAATTAGAAGAATTCGTAAAAAAAATTAAAAATAATTAACCCAACAAACTTGTGTATCTACACTTACACTATTGCATAAATAAGAACTGTCAAGAGTATTTCGTTGTATACACCAATTGCGTTGGTACCCTTATGAGTTCTAGGATTACAATTTTTTCTATTTTCTATCTTTTAAGAAAATCCACCAATCAAACTACATAATCTCAAATGAGAGACATTGCTTTGCTATGAAAGTGCAAAATAAATGGGTGGTAAGGTCATTCAATTAGTTTAAAGTTGTCCTCGATTTGTCTCGATAGCACTAGTTTTGATACGTTGGAAAGTCAGTTATTATGTATTTTTGTGAGTTATGGATGTCACACCTAAAATTTGATTCAATTTTTTTTCTCTTTTTTATTATGACCAACCGGCCAGGGATGTCCTCTATTCGTCCAACAGAGGACGGTCAGAAAGACGTGAAGCAAGAGAATTAGTGCAGAAGTGGTATCTCAGCCTTCTGGGTGTGCGGCCAATCGATGTATGCTTCTGTCGAATGAGCGCTCACTATAGCTACGACCAAGTACAAGGGATATGAATGCATATTTTTGATACATTTATATAATAAAGAATATATATTACATTTCAACCAAACCATTTGTTTGAATATATATGGAAAGAGAATATTCTTTTTTTTTTGAAAATAGGATAAAATCTAATGCCACGCCTATAAAAATTGTATAAAACTATTCAGGAGATGTACAAGGGGATATGAATGCATATTTTTGATACATTTATATAATAAAGAATATATATTACATTTCAACCAAACCATTTGTTTGAATATATATGGAAAGAGAAAACTAAAGTGTATTTGAGTACCAAATGTTTGTTGGGTAGTTTATGGTAAACAAATTTACTAGATAGAATCTTATATCCCATAGAGAGGTTAGTAGAGCAAACCAATGCATTCGAAATTACATAAAACCCAGAACAATGTGAATGCATTGTCAAAATAGTGTTCTGGTATTTAAAATATTATTCAATTATAAAAATGTGATGCATTGATTTGATTTTCTTATTTTTTTAAATAAACTGCAACGTATATGGCTCCGTTAAAAGCAAAGAAAACAGCAAATTTTTTAAGCCATACTAACGAAAAAGTAAACGAAATGAAACAAAGTGGAATCGATACAAATTTGCTACTTTCAATTATTGCATTTCATATAGTTAAGCTTTTGTATACAATGCAATGAAACTGTCAGAATTTGACAGTGCATTGTTACACTTTTTACAATTTTTTATTTAGTTGTTGTTTTGCGTTCGTGAGAGAGTTGCGGCGTTTTTTCTTCGTTTTTGGATTAAATTTTTTCTTCTAATTCCTCTCTACATTTTTTTTTTTTTGTAATTTAAGCAAACATATTATTTATAAATCACTCATAAAAAAATTATTCAACATAAATGCATGTTTATGTCGGATACATTAAATAAAAAAAAGTGGACGAATGTTTAAGCAAACGATCACAAAATATAGAAAAAAGAAAAAAAAGTCAGCGCAACAGAAATAATCGCGTTTAGAAAAAAAAAATAAAAAAAAGTGAGTGCTATAAATTTTATTATGTTTTAAGATGAAGTGAATTTTTCAGATATGTTCTTTACTAAGCTACCTTTAAAAAAGGATTTCAATAAGGGATTTATTAATAAAATTGTAAAATAGATTTGTTTTAACTCTACTTTTTTTTCTTTTTTTTACTAACTTCAAGTTACAAAATCACAGCAACAAAAAAAAAGTGATTTTCTTTTTTTATTTTGTAAATGAGAAAACTCACGCAGTAATATGCCAGCAGTTAGTCTGAGGAGTGCAACTGTTGTTATACTTGCGTTAGGCTGTCACATTTACTCTTATAGTTTGCCGGCCTGTATTGCGGGTATTGTATGTTATACGAGTCAACACCCAAAAAAGGGAATAAAAATCACCACAACTTCCTCGCGCTTTCTGCTACCGCTGCTCTCTCTTATTTGCTTGCTTGCTTGCTTACTTGTTGCTGCTGTGATTGTCATTGTGATGTGATGGTAATTTGCAAAATCACACCGAAATCGAGTAAAAAAAAGAAAAAAATTTTTTTTTTAAGAACAGCAAAAGAGACGTTAACAAACACAAAATACGTGTTTTTTAAATATTATTTTTGTATGCATTTGATGTTTAATTTGTTTTTGTGCATTTATTTATTTATTTTTAAATCTATATGAACATTTTATCTAAAAGTAAAAACAATTTTTTGTGATGTTGGTGTAAAAAAAAAGGATCAAAGAATGCAACAAGTTGTCGTTTTTATTTTGAATAAATGAGAAAATCACTGTTTAATCAAATCCTTTAATATAAGCGAGCCAGTGTTATAAAGTGCTCGTATATTTGGTTTTTTATAGTTTCAGTTAAAGTTTAAAACAATTTTTTTTTACTTTTATCCGAAAGGAATAATTATACAAAGTCTTTATCCTTTAAATCAATTAAAAAATTAAAATATTTGTGGTGAGAAAATTTTGCAAAGACTTGTAATAAAAAAGAAAAAAATTATGTAAGTTGTGCTATCTCCTGCGTGCCCATTTTCGCCTGTTTCATTTATTCAATTAAAAGAGAAATTCTTATCAACGGAGTTCATCCTAAAGCATATTGTTTTCATATCGAATTTGTAACGTAATAACAATAACTTAAAAAAATATTTAGGTTTTTAGAAAATAAAACGAGTTAACCTTTGACGTTTAATAAATGATATTCTAGTGAGATCCAGTAACTTGGGCAGCAGCAAGTATGAGTGGTTTTTATATGTCGTTAGGCCGGTACTTGCAATTAAACTGACTTCACTTTTTGGAGTTAGGTAAAAAAAAGGAAAATTACGTACTTTTGGTTGATCATATTAAGCAGTTTTAAGAGACAAAGGCTATTGCTTGACAATGGGGTCATTCGTACGCTTCATAATTGTTGTTTATGACATTTAGCTTTCCTACTAAGATATTTGAATTTGTAGAATCTTTCAACGCGACCAGTACAATCTTTCGCGAGCAATACAGCCTTTCTTTTTTGAGCTCAGTGGCAAACGGCACCGTCTTTATCCAAAATAAACATTGCCCATGTTGTTGTCATCATTTTTAGTTCAAACATGTGAATGAATGTCGTATGGTAAATGCGTCTAATAGGTATAATAGTGCAGGTTCAGCAGCCTTTTCGAAAATCTGCAATTCAATTACTATCAGAGACTACCCGAGCAGCAAAAAAGCGGCAAACTGTTGCATATGTCACTTATTGCCATTAGAAAGGTGACTCAAGTATTTCGCTTGCGTGTTAGGAATAGCATGTGTTCTAATTTTGCTAGGTTGCGCATTTGAACTTTTGAGACTCCCCTCTGAAACCTATCACTCAGAATAATTTCGGCTAGGAAAATATGATCTCGTTCATTCCTTCCCATCAACTAATCAGTGAATACCTTCGAAAGACTACCTTGTGTTTGTCAAATATCATAGTAAGATAATCTATGTAAGCAAAAGAAGCGGTGTACTTGCTCGGAAAAGAAAAGAGATATAAAAAATGTAATGCAGTCTTGTTTTTTTAAGTCTAATAGATTATCGTTCAAAAGATTATATATGGGCATAAAATCGGTAGGACTTTGAATTGTCAGTTTTATGGTAGAAAGAATTCATAGATTTGTTAAAGAATATTTGGTCCAGTCAGTACAGTCATTAGATTGCTAAACGATTTTAGGGATATATATGTATGTCACAGAAGCATAATAAATCTTTTAACGTCACCGGAAAATTGCATCTTACATGAAAATCATTACCGAAGATGTCTTATATTTTCACAGCAGTATTTTCTAATAAGTACTACAGTCTCATTAGAAAGATTCGACTCCTTTGCCGGTTCCTACGTTGATAAGATATTTCTTATCAATAATTTTTTTATTACGATTCCACAGTTTTCCGGCTGATGATTTGATTCTTGATATGGTGCAGGGTTGCTCTAAACAATCCTTTTTGATCACAAACATTGAAGTACAACACTTTTCAAAACTTTTTACGCCCAAGGAAACCTGAGTAAGAAAACCGAAATCATTGTACATTGTACAGCCACTTTCAGGCTCTAGTTTTGAATCATTAAATCATCAGCAGTTTCAACACAAGTACCGCCTTGGTAACCCACAAGCGAACATTTCATATTTAATTACAGTTATTCTTAATACTGCGCTCTGCACGTTCTTGGCGCCCATTGGTAGGCAATTCTAAATACAATTTTCATAGCCTGCGCCACTTGTGGTGCAAGAGTATATTAGGTTAGTAAGGATGTATGCAACGCCAAGAAGAACTTGAGACTGATCCACGTTTTATTATTCATAATATATTATATGTTTATATGATTATTCATATATAAATCGATCTAAGGAAAGGTTTTCTGTCCTTCTGTCTGCCTTGGTTTCCTGCGTTCAATTTACAGGCTGCGAGTTACGGGATATTGTGATAAAAATTGTTACTGAAACGTGTACCGGCCCATGCCGCGCACTTGTTTTGAAAAGTGTTCATATGAGTGACTATATTAAACGACGAATACATAATTGTGAACAATGCCTCGCTATAGTCTTTTTACAGACTAGATTAGATTAATAGATGAAATGGGTCATCTTCACTTATTACGATAGCTCAGTCTGATAACTGGGCACTCATAAATTAAAATCAAGCTCTTTGTTTGTTTGTCCAATTGAAAAAGATAACACTTGCGGTTAGGCTAGGCAAGGCCAAACTAAATGGAGAGGATTGTCTTTAGTTGCTATGGCAATCATACTGGGAATTAGCCAGCAAAGACTGCCTTGACAAAAATCTCTCAAAATTAATTCAAATAAGAGTGTGATCTGCTATCTTATAGGATATAGCGAGGAAATCATTATCAAATTCTATCAAATACGAAATGCCATTAAT